TTAAAATTTTATCACTTCTGTTTACCCTTGAAAATCGGGGGTGTTTTCTATTTATCCTTGAAAATTGGGGTGTTTTTGTGCTTTTTTTAGATTACTTTGAAAACCGTGCTATTTTGGTTAATATTTTTACTTTTTTTAGATTACCTTGAAAACCGGGCTATTTTGCTTAATATTTTTACTTTTTTTAGATTACCTTGAAAATCGGGTTATTTTGCTTGATATTTTTTACTTTTTTTAACTACCTGGAAAATCGGGGTGTTTTACCTTAAAAGTGGCTGTGTACTATAGGGGCTCACTTAGTAGTTAACAGTTAAATCATTGGTTTTTATATTGTGTACCATTAAAATGGTGCAAATTGTGAAAACGACATGACCCTGATGTCTACAAGTGCTAATGACATTTAACAAGATCAAATTAAAACCGCCTAACGAGTCGGATGAAATTGGAAAATCTAATTGTAAGAATTGTGCCAATTCTTCTTCGTATCCAAACAAAAAGTATCAACTTAATAACTTGCAGAATTTGTTTCTATATTTGTTTTCGTTGTAAATTAACTGTCATAAGTTCCTTGTAAATAATACAAACAGGCAAGGACATCCACGTTTACAGAGATTCTACAACACATAACTATAAAATCGTGTATCGGCTGATTGTGCATGAATAATGTAGAGTGTTTATGCATTGATGCCATTGAATTTTAATGTCACTGAGGCTTATCCGATTAGTAATTAAAGACTAGAACCTGTAATGAGGAGATACCACAGAGATAACAATACCGCTCCAATCTAAACAATTTAATGTTCCATATAGTGGTTTTCACAATAGCCACCCTATCTCTAATGGTTCTAGCATACCTCGTGCCTTGTTCGAGCTCATTTTGGTGTACATTGTATCCACCTGTCGATCGACCATTAATCTTCCCAACACATTATCCTACGCCATCGTCTAATAGACGACAGCAAGTTGGAGCCGACTTTTATCACACCCAAACACTGTACAAGGCTAACACCAACTGATTCCAACTCCAACACCAAGCAACAAGCTAGTCTCAGTCCAGTTACAGTAGCAACTTACTCATGTATGAATCATACTAATGCTCGCTTCTAATTATCTTCAATTCTCGAGTCGACGGGCTACGAGTTGTTCAACTTGCATGTTTTACCCGAGGAAGCTCCTGATTTGTTTGTCTGCATAAATAGATAAAACAGAGACAAACAGTGCAACAAGTTTTGATGAATGGCGGTGCGCTTTGCTGGGGCTTCTTGGAAATGCACATTGCTTTGACATTGGCGTATAGCTGCAGAAAATGCGCCGATTTGCTGGAATTGTGGGCAATCTCCAATGCGTGTGCTGTGCTGGTTTCGAGTAATTGTGCATGTATGTTAATGTCAATGACAAGATAAATAGGAGATGATAAAAGAAAAAATTTGACATAACAGTACTATTGTATTGGCTTTGAACAGATTTTTATTAACATTTGACCAGCAGGTCAAGTTGATAAAAATACATTTCAAGAATCGTGGATGTAATTGCGAAATCAGAGGCTAATAAAATTAACAATTATTAATTACTAAACGGCAATTAAAGTGTACAATAAATTATGTTTCTTGCTTTTCATTCAATATCTCTGTGACAAATTAAAGTGACAGAAAAATGTGGGTAAAGTTCGCCACCGCCAAAGCAACTATTCATCCGCCATCTCGTATTCACTGCAATAAGAGAATTCAATCATAAATTAATTGATTTACAGTTACTCATCTCGGATATTACTTGAAATTCAGAATCGTCCAATAAAGGTTAACAGCATGAAGTCAGTCACCGATTGAATTATGTAATCCAAGAAGCAATTAAACGATTTTTGTTGTACGATTTGCTTCTCTAACGGTTTCTGAACTATGCTCAGCACCTATTTTGCAAAATAATTTTATTTTGAACTAAATTCCGGCCAGACTGCCGGAGCCGTGTTTCATGAAACTCATTATCGTTCAATTAAGCACTTATTTTAACCATATGGTTCTCAAATGAAGTGGCCCAATGTCAACCACTCCTCGCCTATGGCGTAATAATCAATCTGAATGTAGAAACCATTCAAAAACCTTCTTGCTCGAGGCGTCAGACTTTACGTCTGCAAGAAGACCCCATCAAATTTTTAGATCTAACATGTGCATTGCCTTCAATAAAATCTATTCCATCGTCGATCATCTACTTTACAATCATTATTCGTTGTCGTTTTCATATCAATTTAATTGAAAAGCACGATGATAAAGTGCAGCCCCGGTGTGTCGCTCGAGGTGAGGTGTGTTTGATGTCGGAAATAGATTTATTGCAACAAAGATATCTGATTTTAATAGGTACTACCTTTGAGGGTGTTATTAACTCAGAGGCGTATAATTTAGCCGGAATTTATCATATTGTAGGCGCCTTTATTATAGGAACTGTTAAGGTTTCGATAGAAAAAATAGGGATGAAATAAGCTGATATTGTGTTGGCTAGATTTATCTCTTCTGAATGATACAAAGGAATGCGGGAGAAATTATAATGTAAAAAGGCATAGTTGTTCGGTAGCCGTATATACACATAGCGTGCATAATTTCAAAAGACATTTATTACAATCGGTTGATTATTGGTGTAATATAAAACGAGACATATGCACTTATTAAACTAATTAATAACCATATTGTAATTTGTGCGTGTTTTAAACAAGACCTGACAGCTTCAATACATCCGAGGGTGAGGCAAATTAATTAATGATCTAATGAACGACTTAATACGTAGCTGAGTTTGCCTTTAATTTAACCAAGTTAAAAAATGATTTCTCTTAATTTAGTCATAATTCGATTTCGTCAATTAGATCGAGATTTCACAACACTTAAAGTTAATTTATTCCACCTAAGTTTTGTATACAAGTCTGTATGACAAGCGTCTTCC